AGAGAGAGAGAGAGAGAGAGAGAGAGAGAGAGAGAGAGAGAGAGAGAGAGAGAGAGAGAGAGAGAGAGAGAGAGAGAGAGAGAGAGAAAAATGAATGGATGCTGCTCTTCGATTTCTGTTTCTTTGTGAATACATTGTCATCGAACACACTATACCTTTCAATTGTACCCAATTATACCTTGACCAACTCTAAATCCCGTATTGTTCCCTGCATTTTGTCACAAATTCTCTGCTCCTCTCACAATCACCCGCCACACGACGCAGCATCGCTGCGGCGGGTCCACTTGTTTTGATAGTTTTTGCATTCCGGTAGTTGGTTGTAGGTGTGATTTTGCGGTACCGACCCGGTTCAACCTCGGTCCTGGGCATGCAAATAAATTCAGCCCATGGTTTTCCAGGTATAGATGCAGGTTGGCGCTGGGGCTGGGTATAGCAGGTATTCCCATCTTTAAATGGGGTACAGATGCAATTTTCCCAAAAGAACAACCAGGGCAAGGTCAGTTGCGGCGCCCACGAACCGTTCCTATGCAGACCTGAGACGAGCTAGAAGGGCCAAAGCAATAAATAATTCTGAATTGCGTGGCGGCTGTCAGATTCAGATCGACAACGGGCCTCGCTCCAGTACTCACCAAACAAACGTGCTAGAAAAGCGGGCAGATACAGGGCCTCGCTGCACTACTCACCAAATGCACAAAAGTAGAACGAATCGTATACCAGAACATAGAAAGATACACAGACTTCTTTTCTGTCTTTTGTGCATGTGGAGAGTATAGTGCAGCGAGGCTCACACCGCCGTCGTTTTTGGCTTTCGTGCAACTGCTGCTGGGGCCATGTCCCGCTAGCAGCGTTGAGCTCCCTCAACGCCTGAATCTGGATGTGTTTGTGGAGACGTGCAGTTCAGGAAACTCAACACCATTTCTGCAAATCTCCGCAAAAGCGTCCAGATTCAGGCGTTGAGGTAGCTCAACGCTGCTAGTGGGACTTGGCCCCTGCTGAGTACTGGAGCGAGGATCAAGGACACATGTCAATGTCAAGGCGGTCTTTCTTGCTCTGCTGCACTCTGCTGTAATAGAACTGTGGCCCGAGGCAAGGACCCACATGCTGCAAATTAGGAGATTTCAGCCGTGGATCATTGCGATCTACGGTCAGGATCTCTTAAAATTCCGTGCAAGTGGGACCTACGTAGCCCCCGACGCGAAAAGCTGGAAAAGCTTGCTATGCTATATGCTATTTTTTTCCCTTGGCTTTGCGACACCGTCATTGAGCTGACCGGCCCCAAGTAATTCATATACCCGGGGCAAGGTCCCACTTACAAATTAGGATATTTCGGCCGTTGATCTTTGCTATCTACGGTCAGTATCTCTTAATTCGTGCAAGTGGGACCTAGCCCCCGCTGCGCTATAGGCCCATTGCTCCTACGCGAAAAAAAAAAAAAAAAAAAAAAAAAGCATCCCTGGCCCCTG